ACACACACACACACACACACACACACACACACACACACACACACACACACACACACACACACACACACACACACACACACACACACGGGATGGTTCATTTAAGAGCTAATTTGTAGGTGTGAGCTTTAACTGGGCCTATTGTGCTGCCAGCTACAGCGAGCGAGCCGAGCATAGAGCCGCTTCTGTTGGAGAGCTGGGAATGAAAGATCCGCTTCATGCTGGGGACACGACTTCCTGTGGGAGCGAGAGGGCGTGTGTGTGTATGTATGTGTGTGTGTGTGTGACTGTGTGTACATTCAGGGGCATGTGACTGCAGCGTATATTTGTGAGTCACAGGACTCACAGCTCTAGAGTTTAAAAAAAAGATTCAGCTGGGTTTTAAACTTTATTTCATGTTTTAGGCTTGTAGATGATGCTCGTATCCTTACAGTTAGTGAGCATGGAAAAGATACGCTGTCTTGCTCAAGGGCACGTGACGGATGCTCAGCTGACGTGTTACCGGGATCGATAGAGATCCTTAGGGTTATGAAACAGGCATTGTGACTTGTAAAAGTAAGAGAATTTCCCTTCAGAGTGCAGAGAGGACATTAATCCTCTCTCACTGAAGCTGGGTTAAGCTGCTGAGGTCCTAACCCTCAGCATCAAACTACCAGGCAGCCGATGTTCTCTGAGCTGATTTCCCCCACCCCCCATTGTTGTCTACAACAAAAGGCACATTCAGAAAAACTGAGAGACACAAGTATTTCAACGTGAACCAAAAGGCCGCCTGGCTTCAAACAGACCGAGTGACAGCAGGGACCACGGCTTGCACTTCCCCAGCAGTGGTGTAGAGCTGCCGGCTTATGAAAAAAGATGCGGAGTAGATGTTTGGCATCTCAGCCTCGGGGCGCTGATGGATGAAAAGCCAAGCGCAGACGGACAAAATAACTACATATAATCCCCATAGGGCAAAAAAACAAACTACGTGCTTGCTGTTCAGTGTGGGCGAACTCGAGGATTTGATAAAAGTTATTGAACCCTGTATTCACGGGCCGGCTAAATCTAAGTTCATCGACTCTTATTTTAACATGTATTTATTGATTGTTTTGCGGGGTTGGTTTTGTGACTAGCCGGTTAACACTCATACAGAAACACAAATAAGAGTGGCGTTAAAAAAAAGAAAAAAAAAAAAAGAAAATGTATATTTATTTGATGTTTTTTGTCGATATATTTTGTTCTGTCTCATTTATGCACCCCAAAAATTTGCACCTGAAACAGGGATTTGAACAACCACTCAACAAACATTGTTATAATTTCATTGCATTGTGGATTAAGGGATTTTCGCCGCTGATATACGCGATAGAATCAGCAAACCTCCAGTCGTGGGTCCAGTTTGTCCGTCCTGGAGCTGAAGCTTTCCTACCATACCCCCCAGATACAAAAAGAAAAACGGCGAGTCTGACCTTTCTGAAGACGCTGTCATATCCTGGCTCTGCGTTCAGGAGGCTGTCGATGTCGCTGCCACAGTCTCTGTTAGCTGCGGAAGGACAGCTGGTGGCACTGCTGGTTCTGCTGGGCAAACTGGGGAACGCTGGAGGCCGTGAGGATCCTGGAAGACACAACAACGGTGCGTTAACACTGAAATACAGCAATCTTAATCTTAAAACGGTTTAACTAATGGAAACATGAAGGTACCAGGAGAAATCTTGACATTTTAAAATCTGGAAATTCTCTCAACGAGAGCGTTTCAGCTGTGAAATAATGTGTTTTCATTCCCTCCTCTGAGACATAAGCAGGTCTGTTAGACATCAGTGAAAAGACTTCTGGGAATCTGAGAAGGTGTGAAAAGGCCTGGCGGATCAATGGCCGACTGTCCCGACTACAGCCGCTGTTTGTGCGTTTAAAAAGTCAAAATCTCATTCAAGAGAAAATGACAACTGGAAAATGCTATTGATGCACCGCAAAAAAAAACAGCTTTCATGGCAGAGCATTAGTCCCCCGGGCCCAACTGGACACTGATATTTACAATGACCTTCTGCAGTATTCTGCATAAGCCTTAAAGTTAGAAGTCACTTCAGGTACCAGGTGTTTGTTCAGAGATCAGCACGCAGACAGATTCAAGCCCAGTGTGTGCAAACTGATGTGTGTGTGCTCGAGTAAGTCCCCACTCCCCCACCTGAATCAAACACATTCAATATCTTCCACAACAAACAACCATTGCACTCACTGTAAACCCATGGCCTAAGATCCCAGTGCTTCTCTGAAAGTCCCAGTGCTCCTTAACCATAAATGTATTCAATTGCAACCCACCATGAGCCATTTTGGGGTTTGAACACACATATGTCTTCTTTTCTTTTTCAAGCCTCCTCTTTGAATAAAAAGCAATCCACCCAGAAGTCTGCACACCGTACCACGTTCATACGCAGCGGCACTGGTTTTTTTGTGCATGTAAGGACATGTACTGATAATGTCCCAGGCCAAGCTAAAAGAGGAAGATCGCACACAGCTACAGATGTAGCTTACTTTAGCCAGATGCCAAGAACAACTGGATGAAATCATTGGCCGAGTTTGTTATTTTGGCGTCACTCCTGATGTCTATTTTCTGCAAGAGAAAAGCGGAAGTTATTCTTTGTCACTCAGGAACATTTTTGCTCGTATGAGAGCAAATGAGCATATGAGAAAGAGGAAGTTCCCAGTGTGAGTTGCAGAATACAGGTCTGCACCAACGGATGCAGCGGGCAGTATAGGAATCCCGAGGCCGAGCACTCGGCTGCTCGGAGGACGGTGTCGTCGGGGTGTCGGGAGATGGGACGAAGGATCGCGCTGGGAGTGGCCCTTCATTTTAGCAAGAATCTGTTCCACTGCAATAACAAACAAGCGACTGGGGGCACAGCCACAGCCTGCTGACCACAAAAGACATACAAACGTAGGTGGGCCGATCCAGCCGGGTCCTCCTAATATGAGGCCTACTCACTGAATCAAGGACCGCTGAGCCCTAAGAGTCAGGAAGGATCGAGGTAATCAGGATCTCAGTATTGGCCACTACGGGAGCACGGCACTCACACTAAAGTTACACTAAAACACACGATAACATTATTTCAATCAGCAGCTCTCAAGTGTCTGTGAGTTCTGTCAATTTCCACACATTTGCTCAGATGTTGAGCGTTTGATTTCACTCATTAGCACACTCTTAACCTGGGAGGATGAACTAATCAGCAATCATTTGATTAAAAATGAGCTTTTTTTTTTTTTTCCAAAGTGTTTCACAGATCCTAGAACTGGCGTTATAAAATATCAATCGTTTTTAATTACGGGGCTTGAAAGAGCTGCGGAACTGACTATTATTCATGTCTGAATCTGAATGTCTGAATCAGAGGCGTCAGCGGTTTAGAGCTTATTCAGGGCATTAATGTCTGTTAATGTTTGCATCAGACGCTGTCGGGCTCTTTGAGTTCAGCGGCAGAGGGAGCTGGCACGGGGTTATACCTGTTTTCCTCTTTATTTCTGTGGAATAACGACAGTCGCACCCGTCAAAAATCCCAGAGCAAATCCCTGAACAGCAGCTGCGCACGGGGCCTGGTACAGGGCGATGTCGTACGTACGGCCGCTTCATGACCTCATCAAAAGCGTGTGTCCGCTAGAACAAAGTGGACATGACAACAATCCAAACGTAAAAACTACACTGACCTTCGACCCTGTGCTGCGGCAGAGCTCAGCCTTGACAGAGGCGGTTTCGGGAGTTGATGCAAAGCATTTTACCCTTTGTTCTTCATATTTTCTAACGCCACAATCCCACCATGAACCGGAGAATTCCAAGATGTAATGTGAAATGGTAAGTGGCGGCGACAGAAGTGGATGATGGGAGTTTTTTCTCGGACTCCACCCCCTCGCACCTGTTCACAAGAACTAGCAGGGGACTGTGAGCTTTGACAGCTGTCTTCCTCCCACTGTTTCGAACAGACACACACACACACAGAAGAGAGGCCCAGAGAACAGGTGTAAGGCCCTCTAATGAGTCAGTGGGTGGTTGAGGTTGTTGGTTGGATGCGAATCAGATCAGCCTGTGGATTACTCTAAGCAACATATCTAATATGAAACATATTTTCTTCAAATCAAGAAATCAAATATTGCTCACAATCCAAACAGCTGCTTTTGTTGGGGTTTTCAATGCAGTAAAAAAAAAAAAACGACGTGTGTTGTTAGATAGATGCGGTCGAAGAAAAAAAACGCGGAGGGAGATATGATCCAAACAAATCATCCAGTCTGGAAGTAATGAATGCGGTAAGAAAAAAACCGACAAGATAAAGTATCCATCGGGCCTCCCTGTCTCAAAAACACTCTTCTCTGCACATTTCTGTACCATTAGTGGAGATAAGTCGCCACTGAGGTGTTTCTTAAGTGTTTCCCAAAGTGCAAAAAGATTTTATCAGCACCTTATTTATTTTTTCCTTATCCCCTTATACTTCCTAGTTCTGTATTTTCTAAGGACATGACTTGTTTAATGTGTGCAACTGGGAGGACTTTTTGCACATAGAGGGTGTTTTTCTTTATTCTCCAAAGCTGAGAAACGACTGGGGGGGCCGACCACACTGGACGCACTTTGACGTCTGAGCAGTGTTGAAGCCAGAAGTAGAAGTAGAGCAGCCTGATTGGTTATTTGTTGTAATTAGGTCAAAATCAATCCGCTCATAATCAGCCATCAACCATCTGCCGTTCTGGTTTGAGCAACACACATTCACAGAATTGAACTATTCTATTACAACCAATAATATAGATTATTGTAGTGACTGATTCCTGTAACAAGCCACTCGGCTGGGTGCGGGAGAAGATCGTGTTCTCGTACTCGCTTCGACATAAAGATTCCAGGCTTTTCGTGTCTTTGGGTGAGGTTCCCATTTAATTAGAGTAAACAATTGACATTACAACTTGATATCACTTAGTTTCCTGGTCTCCCTCTGGTGTGTCTGGTTTTGCGGTAAAAACCGTGCGATCTCCCCGTCACCCATTCCTCATTACCTGTCAGTTGCACCTGTGCCCCATATATTAATTACCTGCCGCAATACTCCACACTGCCACCCGTGGTCAACCTGAGATAGGCTCCTAATTCAAAGATATAATACACAGACATAACTAATGGCTCCTACAATTATTCTATACTATTCTTAAAAAAAACTTTTTTTCATTGAATCCGTCCTCTGCTACCTTCCTTGCACACGTTTTACTGAGAACACTACTAAACCAAACTGTAATTAAAGCCTTCACTGTGATTCACTCAAACCTACCATTTGCTCCCATACCTTTGTTGTCTCTTTTCAATGTGTTATTTCTGCCTTGAATCAGAAGGCACACCCAGCACGTCTCCTCTTATATAAATGAGGGTTACCGAGTCGAGCTAAACAGGACACGGCTTCGCCCATGATAAGTGTAATATCACGCAGCATTACAAACAACACTTTAAAGCAGCAGCAACAGAGGCCAGCGAACCACAGGCGGCCGGGCGCACTGCCAAACTGTGGCCTTCCAAAAACACATTAACCAGCTATATTATGGGATGCAGATCCACCTCCATCACACAACACAGACAGTACCCAGCATGCTCTGAGACCGAGGCTTTGCAAAAGCTTGTAAATCAAGGGCTCCCGGGTCCCCTCTATGCTGCCTCTGCTGCTGTGTCAAAGCTTTGTAAAGGCAAAACTTTGTACAATATATCACTTAATATTCTATGCAGACGATTACACATTTTATATTAACATCAAGAGAAAACATGCAAGAAGGAATTGACCACCCAATATGGTTAAACACTCTGAAGCAGAGCAGAATGTCACGAGGTCTCAACCCTGACAGTACAATATACTACTCCTGACCTTGACCTGGAGTCTACAGCCATGCTAGCAGCTCTGCGAGGCTGTCCTTAGACACCGCAGTGTTTGAGCTAAATGCTAATGGCAGCAGATCTGGAGATCATGAATATCTTTCCAAAATTTCAAAGGGAAACCATCCAACAGTCGTTGAGATATTTCCATCTGGATGAAAGTGGTGGACTGATAGACTGCCTGGTCGACCACCACTGCCAATCCTAGAGGCTAAAAACCTAACAGGGTACTCAAATGTGACAATGTGACCACAATTTTCTCTCTGTTGTGGGCATTATCAATTGTATTTTATACATGCTGATATGAGTGAATGGCGGATTAGACATTTAACAGCCAGTCAATCAGTTTCAGACCTGGTGTTGCTTACCTGACTAAATAAAGCAAAGAGAGAGACGGAGGCTGAAGGAGTTGGATCACTTTAGAGATTTTTCCACCCAAAGGGAAGTGATGTCAACTTCTCCCAGCTGCTGCAGAGGAAATCCCACCCTCACCCACCCTTCTATTTTATTTCCGTTTGACACTCCTGTTTTGTTTCTCTCTTTCTTTGTCATTCTCTTTCCATCTTTGTGTTTCCTGTCTTTTCCTCTAGATCTCTTCCCGTCATCCATTTTCTCTCTCTTCCTCTATCTGACAGAATGATGTTTCATCTGTTTTCCACCACAGATAAAAGGCAGTTTGTTGCCATCGATCTGTTGGTCGTGTTTTATTGAGACTGGTCTCACCGCAGACAGACTCATTCAACAGCGGTCACAGGATCCTGTGTTCCTATCTTTCTGCGGCTGTCGCCCACACATACGTATATGTCAACTCTTACTTACTCACATTTCTTTTGCTCATTCCCCATATACTGACTGAAAAATATTCACAGCTGCAACAATCATCCATTTGCTGCAGTGACGAGCGAGCTAATGCTGTTTTTAGCCACACTAGCAGCGTGGCTCTAGGGATGGCACAGAGGGTTGATGTCATTTATTAATATTTAGGGATTTAAAAAAGGACAGCAGATGTATTTAAAAAAATAAACATCTGTGCAGGCTTAGTCAGACCCACATGTTAGCACGTAAAGGCGTATACAAATATATATAAATATAACCTGCAAGTAAACATGGTCATAGTAATCATGTTAGCATGCTAAAATTAGCATTTAGCACCACGTTACAACCTTTTTTAAGGCCTTTACATACCGGGGGTGTGATAAATAAACAACAAGAAAATGCAAAAATACAGATTTGCGCAGGCAGAGGACCAACTACCAGCATCCTATTGACCCAGAGCAGCATCTGGTAGTCTGTCTGAGGTCAACTGTATTATAGCCTAAACTACGGTAAGCTGTTTTATTAAGTTTCCTTATAGTGAAATGCTCTGAGTGGAATTGTAGTTCCCTCTGGTAAACAATTAAGCAGCATATATGTCTAGGGCTTTTATTGTGAAAAGACAGAAAGGACGGAGTGGATCTGGCATGTGCGGCCTAGGTCAGGGTTGAAAGGTAATCAATAAGTTTGCGTCTTGGATCAGACCAGGGAGTCCCCGTGTTGTTCTACACTATAGTGTACGTTTTGATATGAGCTTTATGCACAACATTAAGGTAGACGCCTGTAAAGATTGTTCTGTTCGGCCCGAAAGATTAAAAAAACGGTTAGAAAGCAATTCCATGAAAGCTCCAGGTGTGTAAAGGCCGTTAAAGAGCTGCTAGCTTGATTGTAGAGTCTTAGCCTTGTTAAACAGAAAAATACATTTCTAAAAAAAAAGGCAAAGACAAAAACAAATCATAATGAAGTGAAACTTAAACTTAAACTGGGATGAAGACAGATTGCTTGTAAGGCCTGCATAAAAAGATAGTGTCTCGACACGATGAACCATGAGTAACCTCCTGTTACTAACATCACATCTCTGACCACCAGGTTCCTGCAGTCCATCCTGCGGTTTCTCTGACACACTGCTGGCACTAACATTAATTAGCTTCGTCACAAGTGCTGGGTCACTTCCAAAGACGCTATGAGGTCAACTGGAATACAATACGGGTCAACAGGAGTAACTGTTACCACCCTGCGGAGTTGGCAGAGACACGTAACACATCATCTTGTGGCGTGCATCCACGTCCTTGTGTACATGCTGTTTGAGTATGAGATACAAAACCTGGGTCTCGCTCACCAGAACCCTGCTCTACAGGTCCAGTAAAGGCCAAACAACCCCCACACAGAACCTTTTAGTCATTTACTCATACAGTTTCCTTGTCCTGTGGACGTTCTTTTTAAAGAGGAAGTACCTTTTTTTTTTTTTTTTAAAGAGCCTCTCCAAGGTTTACGATCACAACACTCGGGCTGTCCAGTCATGTATTTATAATATCCACACAAAAAATGCTATCAGAGACTGTGAGGCTTCACAAAAATACCAGTATGCGGCTGCAAATCGCTCAAAGTCTTGACTTGCCGTTTCATAACAACTGAATTTCCTCTTTTAAATAGAAAAAAAATGGCAGACAGCTGTTTTTTTTAATCCCCAAAGAAAAAAAGCTGTTGCCAAATGCTGAGGCTCAAACGAAGCAAGTGTCTTTGCTTTGTGTCAGTTCTTTTGCAATCACTTCAAACAAACTGGCTTCACAGGAGAGCAAAGGATACAGCATCTTCCAGCTAAAACATAAAGACACAAATGACCCACTTCAACACATTTGTCACTGGTAAGAAAGCCAACCTTGCACTGTAACTTACAGCAATATGAAAAAAAAATAAAGCACAGAAATATGCACAAAATGCAACCCTTACCTGAGTGCTGAGTGTTGCAGGGCTGATGGAACGACGCCTCTCTGTCTCGGTGGATCTACAGAGAAACAGGAAGACAGTGAATCAGCCTCAGCAACATGTGACCGTCACCCTTGCAAAGAAATAATGATGCAGACCAGCATGGTGGTTAGGAAGTGTTGCTCGCCGCGCACAGGATGGGAGGCGACGATAAGACGCTCTTTAGAACAGCGGACTTCAGAGTATTCATCGGATTTTAGTAGCTGCGGCCGGAGGAACAGTTTTGGGGAAGATCGGAATCCGGTCTGTTTTCATGCCTACGGAGCTTATAGTTACACTGACGGAAACTTAAAACACACACACACGCGCGCACACACACACACACACACCGCCTGTCAGAGATGTGCGGTTGTCTGTAAAAACCCACCGCTGGGGATCTGCTTCCTCTGTGGTCTGAGTGTCTATACAACAGCTGTGTGTGTGTGTGTGTGTGTGTGTGTGTGTGTGTGTGTGTGTGTGT